TTCACTTCACTAAAAATTGATATTAACACCTACACTTAACTTTTGTAAATGAGCATAAAGGAATATTTTCTATTTACTCCAGTAAATGCAAAAAATGTCCCATTTTACTTGGAAGAAAACAAGCAGTTTTTCATCAGCCATCTGTGCAAAATGTGATCAAAGAATACACAATTCTAAACACTTTTAAAACATCTGCACGCTTCTTTTTTGATTAAGCCTTTTTCGATCTTCAGATGATCAAAATATTATGACCAACAACGAAAAACATAATCATATTTTACACACATTGATGATTGTTTTGCGACTGCTATACATTTTGTTGTTGTAATTTAAATAAAACTCTTTTTAATCATAAGAAGAATCACTTTCGGGTCCATTTTTGGTCGTCCCAGTGAGTCAATCAGTTTTCAATCATCAAAGAACTCTTTAAAGACTCCCTAGGTTGATTTTTTTTCAAAAACGATCTTTCAAATGCTAGACGCTATAGCGTCTACCTCTTACTTTGTGTTTGTTATTTTTGCAACCGTTTATTTGACTACTGCTTTTGTTGCTAACAACTGCCGACTATCCACTCACTCGATTGCGACTAGTTTTGCATTCCATTGTTTCTTCACTTTACCGATATCTGCATTGGTGTTACAAAATTCCCATATATATTTTCCAAAGTATTTCGATATAAATGCTAAATACAATAAATGCTAAATATCAAACAAATGTTGATACCAAAAACAAGCTTAATTGAATATTTACCATTGTATATGATTAGATAGGATTAAACGAGAAAATACAATAACATAGAAGAAGAAACCATAAAATCAAAATAGTAAAATTTAAAAGACAAAGAGTTTCTGTTCTGTTGAAACACGCCACCAACACCAAACAACCACACACTCCAAAGTTTTTTCACTCACTCTCTCTCTCCCTCTCTTTCTCTCTGACAAGAATCCAGTATTTAAAGTTTTATGAATTGCATATATAAAATGCAGAAACCCCAACTTTCTGAACCCTATTCATATACTATACTAATTATTATTTTCTGTACTTAATACGGTAAAATATTGCGAATTTATACATGGAGCTATATAAAACCAATAGGCGGTGCAGTATAGTCGGATTGAGCCACAACTGTCACTAAATGCTATATTTCTGCGGATATGTATTCCGAGGCTGGACAATATTCCGCCGTATTTGCACCCTTCACACAGTGGTCCAAGATGCCAATCTAGCTGGAAAAAAGTCAATTTTTTTATGTTTCAATTTTTACATAATTTGTTTGGTAGTCGTTAGATAACACTCCACTGTTCCTAACTGTATATCAGTTTTTTTGTTTTTTTTTTCTAATTTGCTTTGTTATGATGTTTTGGAAATGAACAATTGCATTATCACTGTTGTTTTAGCAGGCTTGTCGATTACCAGCATCACATTTGAACTGTTCGTAACATCAAAGAAGAAACAATTTTGTCATGCTAGGTATGTTTAAGCTATATTGTAAATAAATGTCGAATTTAAATGTTCTGTGTGCAAAATAATTGGTAAGAGAAAATATGTGTTTTGTGTAGCAAAATTTAGCAGTTTATGGTTTTTAGAGTAACTTTTAAATAGGATTCCCGTGGATTCCCGTGAAATGAATTGTGTCCGGTTTATCTGTGTGGTGTCCACTTTAGATGAAAAAAAGAAATAGCTGCAATTATTGACCGGTAAACTTTTTATATACATATATAGATAACATACCCATAACACGGAGAGAAGTATATAATGTGTGGATTGCCGAAATGGAAAGCAAAGAAAGTGTAAAAGCTGTCATTAGCTATTTTTTGCTAAGAGTGGGTTACAGAAAACTAAAACAGATGATTATTGCAATAATGTTATGTTAGCTGTACGAAGATTAACGTATTCAATTAACAAAAGGTGGATAAAAGCAAAAAGATCAAAGAAATATTTTGAAGACTCTAATAAAATTTGGTTAAATGGAGTATTTGGTCTTCCTTCTGAAAACGTGATTAAAATTCCAGAGGATTTAGGGATCCTCGATCTGATTTTTAAGGTAAATCTGAAAAAGGGAAGCGTTTGGAAGTGTCGACTTTAGTTAGTGAATGTTCACCCGAGAAACTAATTTTCGCTGCTGGCGTTAGTCTTTATAAGTCTGGCAAGAGGAATGCTGCCGCGATTCTAAAGAACATAAATGAATCTCCAACGAGAGCAACTAAAATTTAAAAAAAATGTTAATGCATAATCTAAGGAACCAGTACCATATACAGATGAAGAAGCATTATGTCTGTTTATCGATGGAAAATATACAAAAGCAAGTTATAATGCGATGCGTGCTGGTGCTAAGATCCGTAACGCGGATATATACCCATCATATTATAGAATTTTAGAAGCTAAAGAAAAGTGCTACCCAAGTAATGGAATAAAGTTATCCGATGTAACAGCAGAAGTGCCTCATCAGATCCATTAATCTCATCTTTTTCACCAAAGCCATTTGTTAGCTCTCGAAATGAAGAACTATTAGGTCATGAAGATATTTCCTTACTTTTAGATCCTTTCATACAGGTAGATGTAGAATGATTTAAATAAATGATTTTTATTTTAAATATATATTAATATTCTTATGTTGTTTTGTATATTAGTGCAATATATCTATTGGTGGTGGGGTCTCCTTTGTTATATGTTAAATTTGAAACTTTTACTGAAAATTTCGCAATTATTACAAAGAAATTTTCATTTTAGAAATTTTTAAATATACATATTTTCAATCTGAGCACGAGGTGCTCGAGTCGTCATTCAACATATTGCCAAAATTGATATTCGGCACCTCTAAATTAATACATAGATATTCATATTCTTTCAAATGTCATAAAAATTTCCACGACTATTTTACCTACAACGCCCATTTTTGGTACAAATAATGCTTTCAATAAGAAATGCATAATTCCAAAATTTCATACTTCTAGCTGCTTCCGAAGAGAAGTTATGACTTTTTTCCAGCTAGATTGGCGTCTTGGACCACTGTGCTTCAGTAAGATACGAGTAATCCTGAACAATATAAATATTTGTAGGCACCTAAAATTTTTTCGTATTCCATTATTTGAGTTAATATTAGATTGAAGGACAAAAGCTCCTATTTCTTACACTGGTATCATTTACAGATTATGTTTTCCCAGAGCGGAAATTTACGTATTTGGTTCCTTTTTTTATTTTACATGGAATTTTAAAAATCTTTGTGTTCTGTAAACTTTTCCGATCTATGTCTTCCCAGAGTTAATATATACATCATAGAAAGCAAATGTCGTCATATTTCAAACAAAAGTCTAGGTCCATTACACTCGGTCTTCATAGAAATAGTCATGTTTATCCTTTGACCAGATCCCCATCGCATGTAAAATTTCATGATGTCCGAAATATTATTGAGACCTCTAGAGCGAACAGAAAAGCAGAGAAATTTTCCATGAACACAATAATGACCGGAACGCCACTAAAATTTACACGGAGGAGGAAATATGACAAAGAAATTTTCCATGAACACAACAATTACCGGAACGCCACTAAATTTGTACACGGTTTTGATATAACACGGTTTGAAAATTAAATATTTTTCTTTTTTTACACGATTTTATTCCATTTAGCACGATTTAAAATTTTATGTACTTCAAATTTTTTTGTCAAATTTAATTTTTGCGAAGTATGTTCATATCACAAAAAAGTATTTATGAAAGAAAAAAGACTGAAGCCAGATTTAAGTGAATTCCCTTTTAGCGCGTACAAACAATTTTTACTGGTCAAAACAAATGTGAATAGCACTATTTTAGGGGAATTCCCTTTTTTACACTGATTCTTCTGGAACCAATCTGCCGTGTAAAAACAGACTTATGTGTATACAAGATAACATAAAAATCTTAAATTATCCCTTTATGAAAACATACAGCTTTTCTTTAAAAATACATGCAGATCTTCTTTATCCCGTTCAAATTCTTTCAACTCTTCTATAAGAAGATCTGAAGCTCTACGGTAATGAGATATCAATTTCTTCTATTAAGACCTCCAGAACTTCTATAAGAAAACCTATAGCTTTTCTATAAGACCTCCAGCTCTTCCATAAGAACACCTCCACATTTTTTATAATAAGACCCGAATTCGTATATAGGAATATCTCATGATGAAATTTGGTACAGCTAATTTGTTTGGCCCAGGGACGAAACATATTGAAATTGGGGGAAATCAATTCAAATTTAGATATAGCTCCCATATATATTTTCGTCCGATTTAATGTAAATAGTTTACCAAAGTCTTTATATATATATATAGAATGACGTGTGCTAAGTTTCGTGAAAATCGGTTCAGATTTAGATATAGCTCCCATATATATTTTCGTCCAATTTAAGGTAAGTGCTGGACCAAAGATCCTAAATATTTTTCGATTTGCACGAAATTTGGCATAGCGTACTGAATAGAATCTAGAATGATGTGTGCTATCTTTCGTGAAAATCGAAATGATGTGTGCTAAGTTTCTTGAAAATCGGTTCAGATTAAGATATAGCCCTATATATATTTCGTCCGATATAATGTAAATGGTGCACTTTCCTTACTTTTTTTTAATTTCTTTGCACCCATCGAATAGAGCCTGTTTTGAGCTATTGTTAAAATTGGCGGGTTCCAATTAAGACAAATATCTTATTACTGGCAGGTGTTAAAAACCGGTATCGAAAGTATATCGGTGGGAAAAATCGGTATCTCACATCGTCGCACAACGGCCGTTTTTCGATCATTTTTTTTTCATAGTCCTAATAGAAATTGCTTCACGTTTACGTTTTTATTGGTCTTCAATATTTAGAGGGCCTTATTGGGGTCCTGTCTATAAAATAATACAAACACTCCAATAAACTAATACACATTTTTATGAAATAATTTAACAAAAACATATATTTCCCTCAATGGTATATAAAATAATTAAAACAATTATGTGCTGTAAAAAAAACCCCGAAGTCCGAACAAGGCAACAATTCACTTTTTAATAATAACCACTGCGACGTATATACTTCTTGATGAAACAATAAGCCATTATGTTAAACACCACGGCAATGAAAACTAGACCCAAACAATCCATCCAATAGGTGTCATCCGAGGTGCGAAAAGATCCACGTTTCAGGACCTCCAGGCCGTTTTTTATGCATGGATGGGCCTGGTTTTTGGGACAGTCTGTAACAATGGAACCGATAATAGAAATTATTATATGATAGATTTCTCTATATACAATATAATGTATCTGAGGTCTTTACCAATCTTATCCACATCAATCCAAAAATTATACATCAGCGCCTCATTGGAATAGAAAAACAGTGACAGATATTTCAAAAATGGTATCGAATCGACATTATAGTACGCTCCACCAAATATCAAAAATACCAAATCAAATGGTGCTGCACATTCCGATGCCATTTTTTCCGATTCAAACAATGTCGATAAAAACAAACCATACCCTGTGGCCGCCACTGCCGACAGAGCCAATATTAAACCCATTGTTAGGAATAACATAAAACCACGCTCATAGTAAATAAATGCATAGACGATGGAAAAGAAAAAATAACTTTTAAAAAATGCCATGGGTATAAATGAGAGAACCACCGCAACATAATAGGCCGATAAGCTGTAAGTACCCTCGCCCACTTCACGCCTCAATATTGGCAAGGCAGCTGGAAATACATATGTAACGCCATAGGAGAAGGTAAATATCATTTCACTGCTAAGCATAAATATTGAACCGCCAATATCTTGGATCGAAGTCTGCGACATGCCAACCACACCGGAATACATTATGGCCAGGGTGACGGATGTAATCTGTAAGACCATTTTTTTTTAATTTAATATTAATGAATTTGTGAGGAGATAGTTGTTGGAGTATTACCATAAAAAATCCCGTTGATATAACGCCTTGCTTCAAATTCCGACTGTCATCCATAACGAAACGTTTTAACAGTAAATAGACCTGTATGGGCCACCAAATCTTTTTGCTGGAAGGAGAAGAAAAGTTAATTATTAAAAATTGCAAAATTTAGTATGTCTTTCGCGAAAAATTGAAACATTTTCAAAATCGAACGTTGTTATAACCTCCAATTTCGATGAGAAGATAATATAACAGAGGTACAAGTAGGCTTCGACAGGCTTTAACATGGCGTAGCCCAGGCTTATCTTTGTCCCTCTTTCATCTCAATTGTGGACACTGACCTACCGCGGTGTCACCTGGGGTAGCTATTTTCATCATCCTTTGAAATAGCGAGTTCATCCATAAGGACTATAAACAAATGAGTTGAGACGTCGGGTTAGTTGCTCACACTCGGAAACCACCTTCCTACTATGAAAAAGCAACGAAAAAAACCGAACCCCCCTAATATTGACGACCCGACAAACGTATAAAGGACCACGATTTGAGAATCTGCACTTGGAATGTGGCACAGTTTTTGCTTTGGCGGATGTACTCAATAAGTACAAAGCCGATATTATGGCCTTGCAGATAATGCGATGGTGATTACGCCCTGACATAATTTACGAGCGCCTAGAAACATCACATGACCGCTGCCCTGTCCATAACATTGAAATTCTTCTAGGAGATTTTAATTCAAAAATCGGAAGGGAAAATATTTTTGGTTCCACAGCCTCCATGAAGAATCATCCGACAACGGCTTGAGGTTGATTGACTTCGTGGCAGCAAAAATATCAAGAATCTCGATATACAGAAGGCCATCTGGATTCATGCTGATCAAACACCGAGAAATCAAATTCATCATGTTGTGGTAGACGAAAAGCATTCATCCAGTATTTTAGACTTTCGTTCAATACGAGGAACGAATATCAATTCGGTCAATTACCTTGTTGCAGCCAAGGTTCGCACCCGTCTTCATGTAGCAGGAAAGGTGCGATCTAACACAACATGGAAACTCGACGTCAATAAACTGCAAACACAACAGATACCAGAAACCTACTCCGCTCAACTTACCCAACTTACTCTGCTTGACGAAAACACTCCTTGTCCCGATAATAATATAGAAACACAATGGCAAAGAATTGTCCACTCCCTACAAACTCCAGGAAAAGCAACACCTGGATACCAACAACCACCGATCAGGAGTGTCGTAATGCTACTGAGGTGAAAAATGCAGCGTATAGGGCAACATTGCAATGGAGAATTATCGGGTGAAAAGGAGAGAGGAGAAACGAATTTTCAGAAAACATAAGAAGGAACAACAAAAACGTGGGCGTGAGAAAATCGAGATGTACAGTCGTCAGAATGAAGTACGGAATTTTTACCAAAGAATAAAACACCAAACCGAAGGCTTTGGTGCAAGCACATCCTCCTGTAGAGATGATAATGGAAACCTGGATACAGACATCGTGTTGAGGATCTGGATAGGAGCATTTTGAAAAGCTTCTTATCAATGCGGCTTCAGACATGCCAAATTCACCATTGACCAGATTTTCACGCTGCGCCAAATTTTGGAAAAGACCAACGAAAAACACATCGACACATTTCACCTATACGTCGACTTTAAAACCGCATTGGACGGCCCACTCCGCCCAGGGGTCTTTAAAACCATGTCTACGTACGTTTAACTGACACAATGCCAGCAGTTAAAGTCGGAAAGGACCTCTCAGAGCCTTCAATATCGAACGAGTATTCTGAAAAGGTGACAGTTTGTCGTGTGACCTTTTTAACATCCTGCTGGAAAAGGTCATACGAGTTGCAGATGTGAACATAAATGAAACTCCGTACACCAAACAGCGTATGTTACTCGCATATAAAAACGAGCCCATTGGCATCGACAGAATGGGTCGAACATTGCAAGCGAATTGAGAAAGAGTCTGCCAAAGGGGAAATGGCGAGAAGGCAACAGCTAATGGGATCAATGCGCAAGACGTCCTGTAGACTCGGACCAACTGTGGAAGTTGAAAACTACAGCTTCGAGGTAGTGAACGATTTTATATACCTCGGTACCGCCATAAACAAAACTAATAACACCAGCTAGGAGAATAGTGTTGGCCAACAGATGCTACTATGGTCTGAGTAAACAATTAAAGAACAAGGCCACCTCTCACCAGACCAAACTCTCATCTGGTGAGAGGTGGCCTTGCTATATGGATCTGATGCATGGGTACTTGCGCACGCAGATGAGGCAGCTCTTGGAGTGTTTGAGAGAAAAAGTCTCCGGAAGACCTTTCGGACGATCTGCGTTGACGGCCAATATCGCCGCCGAATGAACCATTAGTTGTACCATATATTCTCGGACATCGACATATTCAGATGTATCGAGCTGCAGCGACTATGTTGGCTTGGTAATGTTGTGAAAATGGATGAGGATGCTACAGCTCAAAAGGCATATAAAAACGAGCCAACTGCTGGTTCACACAGAAGGGGAAGGCCACGAATACGAAAGGAGCAAGTTGAAAACACGGTTTTCCAAATTGGATGAGTTGAAGGTCGCAGAAGGTCTCCAGAATGGGATAGACGACTTCAAAGTATGAGGATCTATTGTAATGTTTGTTGCTGATATAACAACAATCACCTATATTTACCGAATATACCCCCTTCAATACTTACAAATTCTTCATATTATTTAAATAATCTCCCGTGTAAGGTTTCGGCAGCAACCAGCTACTGTTATACAGACCCATGGTCTGTAAATTATGTTTAGCTCTTACAACAGCTCCATCCTTGCGATTGGTATGACTATCCGATATTGTTTTCAAATAAAAATCGGCTGGATTACAGTTGTGGGGAATCGAATAACCCAAGCTGAAAAGAAAAATATTACAAATTCAATCTATTTTCCGAATATGCTAAACAACAGACAACTCACTTGGTAAAAAATTCCACAGCATCTTCTGTCCTGCCCTGATATACCAATCGTCCGGCATCCATCAATACAATGTGCGTAAATAGCTCAAATATATCCGAAGTAGGTTGATGTATTGAACAGATGATGGCTTTTTTATAACGACCATTTGGACTGTTGTTCAACGCTTTCAGACTGGGTAAATCCGAATCTAATATTTCCATTTCTATTGAACTGCTAGGACTACTTTCACCACTCGGTGAAGAATATGAATCTTCGCCATATAATGATGTTAGAGATTTATTCAGGATGCGATGACGTGTACACAAATGCCGTAGAGTTTTGATCACAGTAAAGGCATTATAACTATCCAGACCCGTGGTCGGTTCATCACAAAATATAAATGGAGGATCGGTGATTAGCTGAAGGGGTGATAAGGAAAAATGAGTTAAAGAGGAGATAGGCCTTCATATATATAGAAGGCCGTAAAGGACTTCCTATAGAGGGCCGTAAGGGACTTCCAATAGAAGGCCGTAAGGGACTTCCTATAGAAGGCCGTAAGGGACTTCCTATAGAAGGCCGTAAGGGACTTCCTATTGAAGGCCGTAAGGGACTTCCTATAGAAGGCCGTAAGGGACTTCCTACAGAAGGCCGTAAGGGACTTCCTGTAGAAGGCCGTAAGGGACTTCCTATAGAAGGCCGTAAGGGACTTCCTATAGAAGGCCGTAAGGGACTTCCTATAGAATGCCGTAAGGGACTTCCTATAGGAGGGCGTAAGAGACTTCCTATAGAAGCCCGTATAGGTCTGCCTATAGAAGGCCGTATAGGTCTTCCTATAGAAGGCGTATAGGTCTTCCTATAGAAGGCCATATAGGTCTTCTTATAGAAGTCCGTATAGGTCTTCCTATAGAAGGCCGTAAAGGACTTCCTATAGAAGGCCGTATAGGCCTTCCTATAGAAGGCCGTATAGGCCTTCCTATAGAAGGCCGTATAGGCCTTCCTATAGAAGGCCGTATAGGTCTTCTTATAGAAGGCCGTATAGGTCTTCTTATAGAAGGCCGTATAGGTCTTCTTATAGAAGGCCGTATAGGTCTTCTTATAGAAGGCCGTATAGGTCTTCTTATAGAAGGCCGTATAGGTCTTCTTATAGAAGGCCGTATAGGTCTTCTTATAGAAGGCCGTATAGGTCTTCTTATAGAAGGCCGTATAGGTCTTCTTATAGAAGGCCGTATAGGTCTTCTTATAGAAGGCCGTATAGGTCTTCTTATAGAAGGCCGTATAGGTCTTCTTATAGAAGCCCGTATAGGTCTTCTTATAGAAGGCCGTATAGGTCTTCTTATAGAAGCCCGTATAGGTCTTCTTATAGAAGGCCGTATAGGTCTTCTTATAGAAGGCCGTATAGGTCTTCTTATAGAAGGCCGTATAGGTCTTCTTATCCAGACCCGTGGTCGGTTCATCACAAAATATAAATGGAGGATCGGTGATTAGCTGAAGGGGTGATAAGGAAAAATGAGTTAAAGAGGAGATAGGCCTTCATATATATAGAAGGCCGTAAAGGACTTCCTATAGAGGGCCGTAAGGGACTTCCAATAGAAGGCCGTAAGGGACTTCCTATAGAAGGCCGTAAGGGACTTCCTATAGAAGGCCGTAAGGGACTTCCTATAGAAGGCCGTAAGGGACTTCCTATAGAAGGCCGTAAGGGACTTCCTATTGAAGGCCGTAAGGGACTTCCTATAGAAGGCCGTAAGGGACTTCCTACAGAAGGCCGTAAGGGACTTCCTGTAGAAGGCCGTAAGGGACTTCCTATAGAAGGCCGTAAGGGACTTCCTATAGAAGGCCGTAAGGGACTTCCTATAGAATGCCGTAAGGGACTTCCTATAGGAGGGCGTAAGAGACTTCCTATAGAAGGCCGTATAGGTCTGCCTATAGAAGGCCGTATAGGTCTTCCTATAGAAGGCGTATAGGTCTTCCTATAGAAGGCCATATAGGTCTTCTTATAGAAGTCCGTATAGGTCTTCCTATAGAAGGCCGTAAAGGACTTCCTATAGAAGGCCGTATAGGCCTTCCTATAGAAGGCCGTATAGGCCTTCCTATAGAAGGCCGTATAGGTCTTCTTATAGAAGGCCGTATAGGTCTTCTTATAGAAGGCCGTATAGGTCTTCTTATTGAAGGCCGTATAGGTCTTCTTATAGAAGGCCGTATAGGTCTTCTTATAGAAGGCCGTATAGGTCTTCTTATAGAGGGCCGTATAGGTCTTCCTATAGAAGGCCGTAAAGGACTTCCTATAGAAGGCCATAAAGGACTTCCTATAGAAGGCCGTAAAGGACTTCCTATAGAAGGCCGTATAGGTCTTCCTATAGAAGGCCGTATAGGTCTTCCTATAGAAGGCCGTATAGGTCTTCCTATAGAAGGCCGTATAGGTCTTCCTATAGAAGGCCGTATAGGTCTTCCTATAGAAGGCCGTATAGGTCTTCCTATAGAAGGCCGTATAGGTCTTCCTATAGAAGGCCGTATAGGTCTTCCTATAGAAGGCCGTATAGGTCTTCCTATAGAAGGCTTATAGGTCTTCCTATAGAAGGCTTATAGGGCTTCCTACAGAAGGAAGGTCGTATAGGTATTCATATAGAAGGTCCTATAGAGGTGTTCGTATATTGAAGGCTGTAGAGGTCTTCTTATAGAAGGTTCCATAGAGGTCTTCTTATATAGAAGGCCGTAGAGGTCTTCTTCGTATATGGGTGTTCATATGTGGAAGGTCTTCATATAGAAGGTCCTATAAGTCTTCATTCCTTTTTACCTCCTCCGCCAAACTAAGTCTCTTTCGTTCTCCACCGGACATCTGTTGAATCCGAGTATGAGCAATATTTCTTAAACCCACCGCCAGCAGAAGGTCTTCAACACGTTGGCGTTTCTCTGCTTTTGAGGTTTTGCGATGCATTTTGAAGTGGGACTAGAAGAAAAGAAAGAGAAAATCCTTAAAATCCTTATCACCCATTCCAAAATAGGATGCTATACCCACCATAAAATACAAATGTTCATAGGCGGTAAATGTCTGAACATTTATCTCAAATTGGGGTAGAAAACTTGAGATGCGTATCATTTCCGAACGGGACATAACTGTGCCATTCACTACCACCTCCCCCGTCAAATTACCACGCAAACGTTGTGATATTGCTGCCAATAAGGTGGTTTTACCGGCACCACTGCAACCCAATATGGCCACCAGATCGCCAGTTTTCATGTGGCCACTAACTGAAAAGGAGGAGTAGGGTGAGAAAATATGGGTTAAGTTCAAAATCAAAACAATAATCAAACGACAACTTTGACATGTTTACACTCAACACAGACCAAACCACAAAGGTCGATTTCAAACCAATATTGTGGCCATTGTAAAGCGGTTCAATTGCGAAAAAATCGAAGCTGCGTTAGACGGAAATGTTTTCAGCTCTATTTCAAGCATAAATAGAACAAGAAGATCTAGCCGCCAATTTGACATTTGAGTCGTCACTCAGTCAGCATGTAAATATGAATGTGTGGTGAGATGACAAATACCAGACTGCTTACAACTACCTGCAATCTAGTCGCTGACTATCATAGATTCGTACTAGTTTCTTAATTATCTAATATCTACTTCGTATGTCTGTCTGTCTATGAATAATTCTGGTTGTGTGTCGCCACATAAATTAATAAAAAATGTATGTATGTCTTTTAAATAAATGTTCATGCAACGTTTAACGTGTTCGCTGTTAAATCAGCTATCACTTGAGTACAGTAGGTGGTGGTGATGATGATAGCTATGAGACATCATGTAAACATTGATTCCTATATTTTTCCGCTTGATTTATTTACGCATAAAATGCTGTAAACTTATTGTCATAGATACATATATACGTCTATGTATTTCAAAGTGGGAAGTATTATCATGAATATTCCTATAGGCTGAGTAGAGTTTCTTCTTGTAGAAAAAGTTCTTATCGAACCGTATAGGTCTTCATATATAAAATGTCGTATAAGTCTTCAATGGGAAGTCTGAATAGGTTGTCATGTATAGAAGGACATACAGATCTTCAAATATTTATTATATTTGTTCGTATAAAGGAAGATCGTTCGGAAAAAGGAAGATTGTATGGAATTTGCGCAAAAATGCGCATCCATATTGGACTTACTCGTACAATAAAAAAATCTTATTCGATTTTCTTGTGTAAAAGTAAACTGTATTGGACTAGCTCATATAAAAGGTCTCTTTTCAGATTTGTGTATGAAAAACCATATATAGTCATTCGTATAGGATTTGTTTTTTTCGCAGAAGCCAGAAGAAGACCATGATGTAGTTGTTGTATGGAAGAAGGAATGAATATAACTTCCTATAGAAGTTCGTATAGGACTCCAAATAGAAAGCCGTATAGGACTTCCAATAGGACGCCGTATAGGACTTCCAATAGAAGCCCGCTTATGTCTTCCTATAGATGGCCGTATACGTCTTCTTATAGAAGGTCGTTTAAGTCTTCGTATAGAAGGCCGTATAAGCCTTCTTATGGAAAGTCGTATAGGTATTCCTATAGAAGGCCGTATATGGTTTATTTGTATTGCATAAGGCGGAATAGGGATTTATAGAGTACAGTAATACGGAATGGGACCTGCTCGTAAATAAAATGCCAGTATAGGACTTATTCATAATCATAGGCCATGCATCTAAAAAAGTAGGCCGTATATAACAAAATTTTCGCATAGATGAAGTCTTTATAAATAAAGGCGGTATAGGACTTGTTTGTAATGACGAAGACCGAATAAGCCGTACTGGGCTTTTTCGTATAGAATGGGGTCATACATGAAGTCTGTATAGATCTTGTACCTAAACATGAAGAACTTAGAGGATTCGCATTGCAAAATGCAGTACAGAGCTTGTTCGTATAGAAGAAGGCCGTACGGGGCATGTTCGTATAGAGGAGGTCGTACAAAAGAAGGTCATTCTTAGCTTGTTCGTAAGGAAGAGGTCGTACAGAGCTTGTTCGTACAAAAGAAAGCCGTAGGGGGGCTGGTTCGCATAGTAGAAGCCCGTACAAGGTTTGTTTGTAAAGACGATTTTGACGTTGGGCACCGTTCTTCTTTATTCTTTTACATTAAACAAAGCCAACGAAAGTACTCCTATATGTTTCCACCTTTATTCCTACAGATGAAGATTTGGTTTATTTCGGATGGACCTAGTTCAATATAACAATTCCGCAAAAGGAACAATGGTTATTTGTCCAGGAAGCTTATTCTCCTCTGCTGCTATGGATGGTCTCCGATGAAGTCATCCAGGCAGTATGAATGGTATATACTGCTTGGACGACTGCATCGGTAAGAATGCTGTTCAGGCGTTGTTCAGAGGTTTTTGTTACAGCTTTGGACCTCTCTCCCTCTAGATCATATAGATGTAGAGTAGTGGGGAGAAACCTGTGTATAAGGCTATGTCAGGAGTATTCCCCAAGCAAAACACCCGAACAGTGTCGATGGAAGGATATAATCTTCTTCTCCTCATAAAGATTGTCTACTGTTTTCATAAGAAGACACCCTGTTGCAGTTATAAGGTCTGTATATTCTCAACGAGGCCATCTTGTCGGCACCCAAATGCAGCCGGTCAGCGACTTGAGGATCTGGTTCCTGCTCTGGGTTGCGTGGACGACTTTAAAAGACTGTCGAACGTTACAGCCAATATCTTGGGGTACTTGGTGGTCGAAATCTGCTCTCCATCGACCTTATGTTCAGTTGAAACTTCATTTCAGCAGTCCATGAGGTGAACAGTGTGGTATTGAATTCGGTGGCGTATATTTTCATATTGCTCATATAGAAGAAATTCACAAGATCAGCTATGTAGACATTTATCCTCTCACATATGTCATCAAGAATAGGTCCCGACGCCATGTTTCACGAAGAATATCACATTACGATATCTGGCCGTCAGGTGGTTGTGGAATATCAGAAAGTAGGTGTTGAACAGGTCCGTATATATCACCCCATCTAGGGAACTCCCCGTTTCACTCTACGGAACTTCGACTTTCTGTTTCTGAATTCCACACATGACTGGCGTTCACTATTATAGTTGATTAGCCAAATGTTTATGCACGTCCGGAGGTTGGTCTACTCGATGGCCTCCCATGAATGACGGTATCGAAAGCATTTGAAAAGGTCAATGATCACCATGACTGTTCGGTTCATTTCAGTCTTCCCAGAGGTGAATAGTGTGGCTTTGGATTTGATGGTGTATATTTTCATATTGCTCAGAAAGGTAGAGGATGAACAGTCCCGTAGAAATCACCCCACATCATGATCTTTCACCCCACACATGACTGGCGTCCATACTTATCGTTGATTAGCCGACTTCTTAAGCAAGGCCGAAGGTGGGTCTTCTCGATGCCAGTTTGGCATGTTTGACGGTATTGAATCCCTTCAAAAGGTCAATGACCCCATTGTCTGTTCTGGTCCTCTACTAATATGTGTGGTAATGGTTTGCAATTGATTTGCATTTTACGGAATCCATGTTGGTCTTCGACTACTGGAAAAAAGAAGTCACTGGGTCCCTTCAAATTCAGATTCTGGTCGGTCGAAAACGCTTTGGTACTGGCCGATGTATTGTTGGTCTTCTCATTTCCGTCTGTCTGTTGTAATCACTCTAGCGTCTAAACAAATTGAGATAGATCGCCAAAATTTTGCAGGTAGGTCAAGTTCGAAGATGGGCTTTATCGGTTTATACATTGGGCTCTATTTTATACATTGGGTTCTTATTGGGTACCAAATATCTCCACTAAAAAATATAAATATCGGTCCACCTTTTCTGGTACACCCCATATAAAGGTACCTCCTAATTTTCAGTATTATGCGGGTTTTGATCGTATTTTTCGCCGAATTGGCTGTAATTTAGTATTTTGAGTTCTTAATGCGTATCAAATCTCCACAAAATATTATGACTATATTATATATAGCCCCCATATAGGGGTACCCCAAATTTCCGGTAGTTTGGGGTTCTTGATTACGTTGTTCAACCGAATTTGCTGTAATTTTGTATTATTAATATTCGCCCCCTTTTATTAATATTCGACCGCTTTTTGGGGTAGTCCTTTGACCGAACTTTGAGCTTTTTCACTTGTTTTTTTTTTTTTAATTACAACCATGGCTTATACATGCTGAACGAATACACAAAGTAAGACCAAACTTCTATGCAACAGGCGACGGTATTTGCCAATAAACATACGTGCTTTGTCGTACGACCCCGAAATGAGAGATCTTACTCTTGAAGTCAACAGACTAGTATGCGAGCACAATGGAAATAAAGTGGTCAGACCACCGACTCGAAGGGGTGCCCGAGATCAACTATTTTAAAGGGCAGAAAAAGCTATGAATGCTACAGAAAATGCTATTGAGTGGAAAGAGTGCTTTGACAATTAGTTCGAACGCTGGAGAATGTCAGAAGATAATGTCTCGTACAACAAGACAGAGGTTGAGGAAAAATTTCTTGTAGTATAGTTACTATTGGTTAGAAGCAGATGCCTGCTTATGAGCCTCCTGTTAAGTTGGCCTGAGCCTTTTTATTGTGTATATTGTTTTTTTCTTTTTCTTGATACAGTAATACTCCTAAAAATTGAAGACATTTGTTAATGGAGATTTTCTCCCATCTACTATGAAATTCGGGATTGTGAATCTATTATTTCTATTCGTCAATAGTACTATCAAAGAGTTTGTCACCAGCAGATTTTGAATCGAATTTTTTGTTTTGATTTAATTTAAATTTTGTCAATGTCATTACAAACAATTCTTTTTTCTGTGGCAAATGTACAACCACATGTTGGATATATGTTGCAACTGTGTATGGTATGGAAGAGTGCTTTAGGCAGCACACCCATGCAAATCAATCGGATATTTTTTCTGCAGACATGTGAAGTAATTGGTAAAGAAAACATAGGAGTGCAAAAAAAAACAAACAAATACTGAGTTTAAGTTTGTATCAGAAATAAGTATTCGATAATACAATTAGACATAGGTATCCATACTTTTTTTTAAATAATATGTAAAAATGGTGCGAAGATATACGAAACAATATCAAGAGAATATCTTCTTAAAAAAATCAAGATTATGACTCTAGTACACTTCGGCGAAAATCCGAAAATCCTTAAAAATCCAGTCCAATAATTGCGGGGGAATGTTCTTTGAAAATCCACTCTGAGAATTCCTGAGGAATTATTCTTTAAAAATCTATGCGTATAGCTCTAATAATTATGAGGAAATTCTTTACAAATCCAGGCTTATAGCTCTGATAATTCCGGGGAAAATGTTTTTTTACCTCTCACAATCTTGAAGAAAATATTCTTAAGAAATCCATGATTTAAGCTCAAGCTTAAATCTTTAAAACTATAGGTCCGATAATATTGTGTAAAATATTCTATAATAATTCTCTTTTATAGCTCCGAAAATCATGGTGAAAATGTTGTTTAAAAATCCTCTTTTATAGGTCCGATAATATTGTGTAAAATATTGTTTAAAAATCCTCTTTAATAGATCCGATAATATTGTGTAAAATATTCTACAATAATTCTCTTTTATAGCTCCGAAAATCATGGTGAAAATATTCTTTAAAAATCCTCTTTTATAGCCCCGATATAGAAAATATTCTTTAAAAATCCACGCCTAAGGCTCTGATAACCTTAGAGAAAATATTCTTTAAAAATCCACGCCTAAGGCTCTGATAACCTTAGAGAAAATATTCTTTAAAAATCCACGCCTAAGGCTCTGACAACCTTGAAGAAAATATTCTCTTAAAATCTTTTGAGGTTCCTTGGAGAAAATTTCCCCTTTACCCAACTTACCATCATTTAAAATCTGCAACTCCCTTTGGGCACGGCATGATTCCCAAAAACTGTAGTTATTTTCCTCCTTGGACGGGACATAATAGTTCAAGTGTTTCCATTCCAAGCACAGGCCGGCAGCAAATGTAGAGCCACCAGCGTCCTCCATTTTATTATTAAGTAAGGAAAATTATTATTATTTTTTTTAATTTTCAAGTGTTCTTCTCACTTATATTTTTTCTTATTCTTTTTTAAATTTTAACCACAAACCCAAAATGATCGTAATCGTAAACGCGTTGCAACTTCGAACACGTTTATCAAGTACAGTCTATGTATTAACCATAATTTTTTCCGTTAATGACACGCATTCCGTGTATATATTCAAGTACCGTGTGTTTTAGAACTGATATGGTACCAGCGATTATATGATGCAGTGATGCTCTTCGGCATCCGTTGAAACTAAACAATGACATATGTCATCCCGATCAAAACAAAATCTTGAATTTTATCTTATCTTCATAAAAAACGAAAAAAGTGTCACAGAGATAAGTAGGAAAATTACTCCACCCCACCGATTATTTTTTTCAGGGGGATTACTGGCAACAATGTTTCAAGGGAAACATTTGTTTAAATTTGTGTTTCTATTTGAAAGATAATTATTTTTTTTTATTTGATTTAACCACTTTATAAACTAGTTCATGAAGAGCGTATTAAGATTTTTATTCTTCTTTATTTTTGATTTAATATTTTCTTTATTATTCTTTTTGCTTTGGTTTTCAGTTAGATGTTATCCGTCAATAGAACCGTTTTCTCTGAACGCTGCTCACTAACTAAACTTAGTTAAGTTCTCATTTAGCCACTACGCTTTGGGTGGCTAGATGGTGTTGGGCTGATTTACTACAGGCAAGGTATTATCATGCGGCATCGCGAGGGTGGCCAATAAAAGGCACTTCGAAGATTTTTTAAATGTAACAAAATCGTTCATTCTTTAAAAATCCACGCACATAGCTGTGGTACTCTGGTAGAAAATATTCTTTAAAAATCCACGCCCATAGCTGTGGTAATCTGGTAGAAAATATTCTTTAAAAATCCACGCCTATAGCTGTGGTAATCTGGTAGAAAATATTCTTTAAAAATCCACGCCCATAGCTGTGGTAATATGAGAGAAAATATTCTTTAATAAAAATCCACGCCTATAGCTGTGATAATATGAGAGAAAATATTCTTTAAAAATCCACGCCCATAGCTGTGGTAATATGAGAGAAAATATTCTTTAAAAATCCACGCCTATAGCTGTGATAATCTGGGAGAAAATATTCTGTAAAAATCCACGCCTATAGATGTGATAATTTGAGAGAAAATATTCTGTAAAAATCCACGCCTATAGCTGTGATAATCTGAGTGAAAATATTCTTTAAAAATCCAGGCCTATAGCTGTGATAATCTGAGTGAAAATATTCTTTAAAAATCCAGGCCTATAACTGTGATAATCTGGGAGAAAATAATCTTTAAAATCCACGCCTATAGCTGTGATAATCTGGTAGAAAATATTCTTTAAAAAAATCCACGCCTATAGCTGTGATAATCTGTAGAAAATATTCTTTAAAAATCCACGCCTATAGCTGTGATAATCTGGTAGAAAATATTCTTTAAAAATCCACGCCTATAGCTGTGATAATCTGGTATAAAATATTTTTTAAAAACCCACACCTATAGCTGTGATAATCTGGTAGAAAATATTCCTTAAAAATCCACGCCTATAGCTGTGATAATCAGGGAGAAAATAATCCTTAAAAATCCACACCCATAGCTGTGATAATCTGGGAGAAAATATTCTTTAAAAATCCAGCTGTGATAATCTTGTGGGAAATATTCATTGAAAGTTACCTAAATATCAACAGACCAAAGAACAAAAACTATAACTGTCGCCCTTAACCTTGAAGGATCTACTGTCCTTCTGAATATTTTAATTCCTTTATTGTCCATATACAAATTCAAATATTTCAATTTAAAAATTCATACAATGAACCCGGATTGCTCTCCACATTAGCATCATCTTCAAGATTTTCCACAGCCAAAGCTCCATCTGAATCTTTGCAACGTAATTTCAACAATAATTCACGTCTCTTTTTAATGCTATCGACCAGTGACATTCTTTTTGGTATCACCGCCACAAGATGGCGTTGTTGCAACACTTGCAATTGACGACGATTTTGGAAATTCCTTCGATATCGAAAGCATGTTGCATAAATCCATTTCATCAAATGATAAAAATCCCACGAAAGATGGCGAACCAATGAGTAAATGAAGCCAATAACCGTGATAAAACTGATGCCCAAAAATAAGGCCATGGTACCGCCAAAGGAAACTTAAAATGGAAATTTTTTTTTTATATTCTAGAAATTTTAGAAAATGAATTTCGTCTTACCCAATAAATCCTCAAAACTAAACACAACATCACGTCGCATTCGCACCTTTGGTGGTATTAGATCCCATCGAAAACTTGAGGTGACCACATCGGTCTTAGTTTCATCTAATGTACTACCACCCCATGAGCTTTTCTTTGTCGTATGCAGGGTATATTCCATTTCAATGCAAGTGCTTGGACATTTACAAATGTGCAGAGCCCACACCGGCCACTTGAAGTCGAGTAAGCATTCAAATCCAGCTGGATTGCAACTAGGACCCTCTGCAAGTTATTTTTTTAAATAATTACATTTTTAATTACTTCAATTTAAATAAATTTACCCAGAAACGTATAAAAGAACGGTACACAATTGCACATTTCCACCGCCATGGTAGCGCGACATTTTGCCAGGCACACGGTTTTACTGTAAATCTAAAGAGACGGGGGATTTAAAATATTTTCCTTACGAATTTTAATAGGTACGAAAATTACCTTCAGATCGGAGGTCTCTTCATCGTGGAAAACACATTTGCGCTGATCTCTCGTTAGGTCTCTTAGATTTGCAGAAGCTCTGAGAAAAAGACAGGAGATTATTCCAAATGATAATCTTGTGGGAAATATTTTTTTAAAAAAATCCACGCCTATAGCTGTGATAATCTCAGAGAAAATATTTTATTAAAAATCCACACTTATAGCTGTGATAATCTCAGAGAAAATATTTTTTTTAAAAAATCCACGCCTATAACTGTGATAATCTGAGAGAAAATATTCTTTAAAAATCCATGCCCATAGCTGTGATAATCTGAGAGAAAATATTCTTTAAAAATCCACGCCTATAGCTGTGATAATCTGGTGGGAAATATTCTTTAAAAATCCACGCCTATAGCTTTGATAATCTGGTGGGAAATATTCTTTAAAAATCCACGCCTATAGCTGTGATAATCTGGTGGGAAATATTCTTTAAAAATCCACGCCTATAGCTGTGATAATCTAGTGGGAAATATTCTTTAAAAATCCACGCCTATAGCTGTGATAATCTGGTGGGAAATATTCTTTAAAAATCCACGCCTATAGCTGTGATAATCTCAGAGAAATTTTTTTTAAAAAATCCACGCCTATAGCTGTGATAATCTGAGGGAAAATATTTTTTTAAAAATCCACGCTATAGCTGTGATAATCTGAGAGAAAATATTTTTTAAAAGTCCACGCCTATAGCTGTGATAATCTGAGAGAAAATATATTTAAAAAATCAACGCCTAGCTAGCTGCTGTAATAATCTGAGAGAAAATATTTTATTAAAAATCCACCCCTATAGCTGTAATAATCTGATAGAAAATATTTTTTTTAGATGTGATAATCTCAGAGAAAATATTTTTAAAAATCCACGCCTATAGCTGTGATAATCTTGTGGGAAATATTCTTTAAAAATCCACGCCTATAGTTGTGATAATCTCAGAGAAAATGTTTTTTAAAAATCCACGCCTATAGCTGTGATAATCTGAGAGAAAATATTCTTTAAAAATCCACGCCTATAGCTGTGATAATCTCAGAGAAAATATTTTTTAAAAATCCGCCCCTATAGCTGTGATAATCTCAGAGAAAATATTTTTTAAAAATCCGCGCCTATAGCTGTGATAATCTCAGAGAAAATATTTTTTAAAAATCCACGCCTATAGCTGTGATAATCTGGTGGGAAATATTCTTTAAAAATCCACGCCTATAGCTGTGATAATCTGGTGGGAAATATTCTTTAAAAATCCACGCCTATAGCTGTGATAATCTGGTGGGAAATATTCTTTAAAAATCCATAATCTGAGAGAAAATATTCTTTAAAAATCCACGCCTATAGCTGTGATAATCTTGTGGGAAATATTCTTTAAAAATCCACGCCTATAGCTGTGATAATCTAGTGGGAAATATTCTTTAAAAATCCACGCCTATAGCTGTGATAATCTGGTGGGAAATATTCTTTAAAAATCCACGCCTATAGCTGTGATAATCTGGTGGTAAATATTCTTTAAAAATCCACGCCTATAGCTGTGATAATCTCAGAGAAATTTTTTTTAAAAAATCCACGCCTATAGCTGTGATAATCTGAGGGAAAATATTTTTTTAAAAATCCACGCTATAGCTGTGATAATCTGAGAGAAAATATTTTTTAAAAGTCCACGCCTATAGCTGTGATAATCTGAGAGAAAATATATTTAAAAAATCAACGCCTATAGCTGTAATAATCTGAGAGAAAATATTTTATTAAAAATCCACCCCTATAGCTGTAATAATCTGATAGAAAATATTTTTTTAGATGTGATAATCTCAGAGAAAATATTTTTAAAAATCCACGCCTATAGCTGTGATAATCTTGTGGGAAATATTCTTTAAAAATCCACGCCTATAGTTGTGATAATCTCAGAGAAAATGTTTTTTTAAAAAATCCACGCCTATAGCTGTGATAATCTGAGAGAAATATTCTTTAAAAATCCCCACCTAAATCCTGCCTGGTCTGAGGGAAATATTCTTTAAAAATCCAGGCCTATAGCTGTGATAATCTGAGAGAAAATATTTTTTAAAAATCCATGTATATAGCTGTGATAATTTTGTGGAAAATATTCTTTAAAAAGCCAAGCCTATAGCTGTGATAATCTTGTGGAAAATATTCTTTAAAAATCCACGCCCATAGCTCTGTAAAGGTCGGACAAATAAATCAACGTCTTCAAAAAGCCTTACACTGTTTCCAATACTTTATAGGAGGCAATAATTTCATCCGATTTATGTAATGGAATATTACTGGCATCAGTTGATGAGATTTCAAAGGGTGAGTGGACATCAACCTGTTAAGAAAATATTACAATTTAAAAACTTAACATAAAAATATAATACAAAAAAAACATTCTACCTACCGTTCCGGTACTCTCCAAGAGATCAACTTTTATGAAACATTGTTGTTTGCCAAAATGACACTTTGGAGGCTGTTTCAGATCATCAAAGGTGAGAGAATCTGTTTTGACACTAAATAAAAGAACGACAAAATATATTATCTCAAAAAATACACCCCTTCCCCAAAACTACTTACTTCCCCGCCAACACCTCACCCATTGATGAGTTAATAACGTAGCAAGAACCCCTTTCGGTCATCACGGATTTCACGGGCACCTCAAAATTCCCTTCATACGTGTTGATAATTTGTTCAAATGGCCTGTCTATGGCCTGAATTAATGCATACAAATCCACAAATTTGGCAAATTTTGCCAAATCCATATAATTACTGGCACTGGCATTCACCACAGCATACAAAAAATCCATATAATAGAAATAATCTTCATCCACAATCGAGACATTCCAATTTTCCAATATGAATTCATTTGCCTTATACGAATCGATGTGATCGTAATAACACAGTGTTATTGCCGGCATATAACCGATCCAATCACGATAATTGCGATCCACCGATATCACTGTGGGTGATTTTAAAAAGCGATAAATTTGCAAATTCGTTATCCACAAAGCGCCATATATCGAACCGATAAATGTAAGGAGCCAAAAGATTCTGGGAAAGGGAAAGAGGATATTTTGTCAAAATTCTGTAGATATGGCCCTAACACCCATGACGAAAGATTAGTTAAATATCACACCTCCAATCTCCACCAAAAATCCAATTAGTTTGATATAATAATGTTCGATCTGAAACCCCGTCTTACCTTTCCAGGATATGTAAATTCCGATTAATCATTAATTTAAATGCCAATATGCCAGTCTCTTCAGCCATATCCTGAAGGAATACAAAAAATCGCCGATATCCATAACACGAAGCAATACGAACACCATACCAAAAGGATTTCGGAAAACGTTTAAATAATATACACCAGCAGATTTTCAAATATTTTATTAGCTGTAATAATTTTTGACGCAATAAAGGATACATTTTTTTCTTCAAAACTACTACCACCGAATGTAACGAAGAAATTGAAACTAAAATCATTATCAGGATAGCCAGGACTTTTATACCCTTGCACAAATGTATTTATTAGATATTCGATTCGATGATAACAATTTTCAATACTAATTGATTCTATTGTTTTTAGAAATATATGTTCGTTATTGTTATTATCCTTTCTGATTTAAAAACAATAGGCGGGCACGTGATGACAAAAGAAGGCATATTTTCCTGAATGGGGGATAGTAACTGCAAGCGTTTTGTTGTTGTTATTCTTTTACATATAATTCACAGTTGTATTAAAAAGCGTATCGTTAAGCGATGAATTACCCAAATCGCTCTGTATGAGAAATATTATGTATATAGCCAAAGCATTGAGGATCTGTAATGTAAAACAAACAAAAATATACTTTTTTATACAAAAATTCAATATGTTTCTATTTTCAATTATCCTTACCCCCAATACAAACATTAAATCCAAATCGACAATTCCGCAAGCCGACTCGGTATGTTTCCGTACCATAATTTGCAGCAAAAATTTATTAATATCATTTTCCGATTCGAATATATCCACCGGCATAGCATTGAGAATATATAGCATTTGACATTTCTGCAAAAAGAGAAAGAATATTAGATTAGCAAGTAAAAATGCGGCTAGGTTCGGCCGTTCCGAACTTTTTATATCCATGGTAAATTATTGTTATTCTATGGTAAATTATTGTTATGAAGATTTAAGAACCAAATTTGAGCCAATTGGCTATCGTAACCAGTAAGGAAAGTAGTAAAGTCGGACGGGGCCGACTATATGATACCCTTCACCACTATGGGTATATTAAACAGGATTATTAACATGAAATTGGATGAAATAAAATATGTGATATTTATCTAAATGTGAATCTACCAAGATCTATCCATAAAGTATGTAAATCGACTTCAAACAAATATAATTAGGTCATCCGTTGGGCTATGTCTGTACTTCTAAAAACCCAACTACGTAATTAGGCTCAATTCAGTATGTTATGCCAAATTTCGTGCAAATCTCAAGGTATATGTGATGCACCATTTACATGAAATCGTACGAAACTATATATGGGACCTATATCTAAATCTGAACCGAAACTTGGCAGACATCACTCTAAGCTTAATTCAGTACGTTATGCCAAATTTCGTGCAAATCGAAAGACATAAAGGGACTTTGGGGCACCATTTACATGAAATCGGACGAAACTATATATGGAAGCTATATCTAAATCAGGACGAATTTTCTCGAAACTTGGCAGACATCACTCTAGGCTTTATTCATTACGTTATGCCAAATTTCGTGCAAATCGAAAGACATAAAGGGACTATGGGGCACCATTTACATGAAATCGGACGAAACTATATATGGTAGATATATCTAAAGCTGGACCGATTTTCTCGAAACGTGGCAGACATCACTCTAGGCTTAATTCAGTACGTTGTGCCAAATTTCGTGCAAATCAAAAGATATATAGGGACTTTGGGGCACCATTTACATGAAATCGGACGAAACTATATATGGGAGCTATATCTAAATCTGACCGATTTTCTCGAAACTTGGCAGACATCACTCTAGGCTTAATTCAGTACGTTATGCCAAATTTCGTGCAAATCAAAATATATATAGGGACTTTGGGGCACCATTTACATGAAATCGGACGAAACTATATATGGGAGTTATATCTAAATCTGGACCGATTTTCACGAAACTTGGCAGACATCATTGTTGACCTAAATGATTAGGCTGTACCAAATTTCGTGCAAATCGAAAGATATATAGGGACATTTTACATTAAATCGGTTAAATATATATATGGGAGCTATATCTAAATCTGAACCGATTTTTTCCAATTTCAATAGGGTTCGTCCTTGGGCCGAATAAGTGACCTATGCCAAATTTCATCCAATTCGGATCATAAATGCGACCTGTACTTTGTTTACAATTTAACATGGACAGACAGACAGACGGACGGACATGCATAAATCGACTTAGAAAGTGATTCTATGCATATTCTCAAAAGGAACCATGTGTCTATCCCTGTACCACAGTGTGGTGAAGGGTATAAAAATGAAGCCCATATCGATATCATTTTTATACCCTCCACCATAGTATGGAGGATTTATTAATTTTGTCATTCCGTTTGTAGCTCATCGAAATATTCATTTTCGACCCTATAAAGTATTTATATTCTTGATCAGGGTAAAATTTTAAGACGATCTAGCCATGTCCGTCCGTCTGTTGAAATCACGCTATCTTCTGAAGGAATTGGGATAGGGTGCTCAAATTTTGCATAGGGTTGTCTTTTGTCTGCATGCAAGTTCGAAGATAGGATATATCGGTCCACGTTTAGGCATAGCTCCCATATAAGGGTACCCCTCAATTTTCGGTATTTTGGGGTTCTTGAGCGCGTTTTTCAACCGAATTCACTGAAATTTAGTATATTGGGTTCATATTGGGTACTAAATGTCTCCACAAAAAAGTATAAATATAGGCTCACGTTTTCTGGTAGCCCCCTTATAACGTTAACTCCTAATTTTCAGTATTTTGGGGGTCTTGATCGTATTTTGCCACCGAATTGGCTGTAATTTAGTATTTTGAGATCTCAATAGGTTCCAAATATCTCCACAAAAAATTATGAACATAGGTCAATTTTTTCGGGTAGCCCCCATATAAGGGTACCCCCAATTTTCGGTATTTTGGGGTTCTTGAGCGCATTTTTCAACCGAATTAGCTGCAATTTGGTATTTTGTAGTCGTATATGGTAACAAATCTCTCCACCAAAAATTATTTATATTCGCCCCCATTTTTGGGGTAGTCCCCATATAACCCCATTTTTTATATTAAATCGTTATCTGATTTGTTCTGTGTTTTGGGTTTGGTTCTAAGACTCTATTGTAATCTTTTCACCTGCGGAAGATATGAAGATAAAAAACTAGAACATAAGGTTCGATAATGAGCTATAACCCGCATTTAGACCTAGCCCCTGTATGGGAGGTACCAGAAGGAGTGGACCGATATGCCCCATCTTCGAAATTGAACTAAATTTAGAAGAAATAGTAAGATGGGCAAAGTTTGGATGAATACAAAATTTTCTGAAACGGATTTTGTCCAAAGAAACATGGGGTCTAAAACAAATATATTTCGATGAGGGACGTTTTCATCGTGTCAAAGTGTATGGTTTACATAATAGGTTTGTAGAAATGTAGGTATAGGTATAGGTTTGGTATTTTCCCTATATTTTCATTGCAAGTACCTGTCAGTATATCTATGACGGAGGCTATCCAAAGTTCGGCCTGGCCGAACTTAACGCTTTTTCACTTGTTGATGGTTAAGTTCGCTTTGCGACCTATGAAAACTTAAAACCCCAAATTACACACAATTCGGTGGAAAACGTAGGTGGATTGTTACCCAATGAGAAGTAAAAATACTAAATTACAGCCAATTCGGGGAAGCCAATGGTCAATTGGACCATAATGGACCATACCAATACGGCTTCAGGCCTGCTAAAGTCACTGTTGACCAGGTTTTCACTCTGTGCCAATTCCTGGGAAAGACCCACGAAAAAAACATCGACACATTCCACCTATTCGTCGCCGTATTCGGCAACCCAATTAGATAAGAGGTGTTCAAAACCATGTCTGCGTTCGGCATTCCGGCAAAATTAATACGGCTATGCAGGATAACTTTAACTGGCACAAGGTCAGCAGTTAGAAAAGAAGCTCTCGGAGCTCTTCAATACCGAACGAAGATTTAGACAAGGTGACAGTTTGTCGTAACTTTTTTTATTAGTTTGGCCCCAAATATTCTACAAAAAAAAATTAAAAATGTATCAGTCTGTGTTGCCGACAGATATATACCCTCATTTTCTGACTTTGTTTAGAGTTTTTAAGAATAATACTAAGTGCCGAGTTTGGACAGAATCGAATATTCCATTCGCCGTTTCATTATGGATACAAAAACATATAAAAAATTGAGACACTTTCTGGGGAGGTGATACCAGAGGTAGTGAGTGGACCGATGGACCCTATCTTCGGACTTGATTAGAAATTCCATTCTTTTTATATGAGATTTACAAGTCTTTAAAATATTGTCGCTTTGTCGGGGAGGTACTGGATGGTACCAAAAGGAGTGGAAAGATGGATCCCATCTTCGGAATTCCGTTCCATTCATATAAGATTTACAACTCAGCAAAATAATGACCCCTTGTGGGTGAGGTAATAGATGGAGTAGACCGGTAAACCCCATTTTAATAGGTTCTGCAAATCTTGGTTCAAATCGGAGAGTTCGTTCGCATGACATTTTAAAATAATTTTCAGCCAAAAAAAAAAGACCATTTTGTGAAGGAGGTGTTAGAAAAAGTGGATCGATGGGTCCCATCTTCAAACTTGATTCAAGTTCGAAAGAAATAATACGATGTGCGTATTTTGTATCAAATCGGATATTCCGATACGATTGTTACTCGATTAATAAATTTTCAAAATGATGACACTTCGTGGGGGAGATATCAGAGGGAATAGACCAATGGGTCCCATCTCCGTACTCGATTTAGAGTTGGTTAAAATTCGACAATGTGCTGATTTGGGTTAAATATTGGATTTAAAAAAAAATGAAAAAATTGAACTTTTGTGGGGGAGGTACTCAAAGGCCTGGGCCGAAGGGTCTCATCCTTGATCTAGGATTGGAAATATATTACGATCGGACATTCCATTCGACATTTATAAAAATGAGAAAATAACACCTTGCGGGGCAGGTAATAGAAGGAATGGCCTAATATGTCCCATCTTCTAAATGTATAGAAGCTTTGTAAAATATTAGGTTATGCATAATTTGGATATGAAATCGGATTGTTCGTTCGCACGATATTACAAAATTAAATTTCAACAAAATGTTGAACATTTTTGTGGAAGTTACCAGAAGGAGTGGGCCGATATTCCCAATCCTGAAACTTGATTTAAGATTGGAAGAAATATTACGATATGCAAAGAATGGATGAAATCGAAGGGAGTAACAAGAGTTATCGTGGGCACCAGCTAGATAGACGGACGATCGGACAATTGTAAATCGACTCCAAATTGGCCGATTTGTCGGATTTGTTCCAAAGAAACATGGGGTCTAAAACCAACACTAGCCATAAGGATTGGACCCTCTTCTACATCGAAGGTTATAATCATATTTTTTTTTAATAGATACGACTTTTGACATAAAAAGTTCCCACCTCATATTCAAAACGTTGACGGTACTATCATCAGTTTCCAAATGGGGTTTCTGAGGAATGCAGTCAATGTAGTTCCATATTTTGGCATAGCCAACATCGATCGCTTTTTGAAGACCCAACTTCTAGTGATGGTATAAATTGTTCGGTCCTGCCGAACTTAGAACCTTTGACACCTATTGTATGTTAAACATTGTATTTCCCACTTACCTTCCTGGTGATGGCATTATGTGTCAGCAGCACAAAAAATATTCGACTACTGTGCAAAATCAACCATACACACTTGAATATGACCAGTGTCAATTCATTCAGCGCAGGATCATCAAAATAAGTGTATAACGTAAACAATTCAATTGTCAAGACGACAAAAGATGCCAAAAAATTCAATACCAAAATATAACGAAAAATATCCACAGTATCGCTGAGGACATCCGACAAATCCGAATGGATGCCTTGAACCTCGATAAATACCTCATGTGCATTAAATTGCCTTGACTTTGGATAGCCTTTACTGCTATAGAATTCCTTGTAGAACCACAAGGATGTTGGATTGACTATTACCAAATTCTTCCCGGAATTTCCTGCAACCTGTGGCAACATTTCCAAAATATCATTAATCGATTGCATGAGATGGGCAATGAGACGCAGCACCAACCAATAGAGGCATAAATTTAGACTAATTAAAATATTGGGTAAATTATAGGCCACCAGGGGTCGTATGACACGCCAACCAATTGTTGGCCTGTAGAAGGCATTGATGATAATGCAGGCGATTTGAAAAACACTTAGGGCCACACTTAGCAGTTGCACTTCCCGCTTGAGGCGTAAATGAATATTTGCCATAGAAATGTCATCACCCATTTTCGTATAGCATTCCTTTAAATGTTCCGTCAATTGTGTTAACCTCAAACCAATATCCTTGATCGCATCATTATTGAAAAATGTATTCCAATAAATAAGGCAACACAAAATCCCGTAGAAAAAGAGTTCGCAAAAATATAAAAATATCTCCATGGGTGTTAGGGTCGCATCTATCACCCATATTTCTGCAATACACAATATCCAGATGGCAAGTAGCACCGTCAGACACCATAATTTCTGAACACAACTTATAACACAATTCGTGCCCTTATGTGGCAATATACCGAACACTTGAAAAACTATTAAATACGGATTTAAAAAATTAATAAAATTAATTTTATTAAAATGTTTATTTTTCATTTGTGTGTTGGCTATTCCAGCGGGAGTTGGAATCGTTTTTATTTTAATTTGATTGGTAAACATATTTTTTACTTTTATTTCATTGGGTGAGTTTTGTTTGAAACCCGACCCGAACCCGTTAGTAGTGGCAGCGTTCCTGTTTGACACACAACTGTCAATCATTGCTAAAGTGTTAATAATAAACTTGGCCTGGTTTCGGATTTTTTGGTGAAATGGTAATTGATTTCATTATTCTGTTGCATTTTGATTAATGAAATTTTTTGTTTTTGTGATGCAAATCCGGAAGGACAATAAAGTACAGTGGTTCTAATAAAATATTTCGAAGACGTGAGTGTCCTCTAATGTCACTTTATAAGTAGACATTTGAATATATTTTATAATGCCATAGATTTTACTTCATTTTAAGCTGGGGAAAAAATCAATTATTTTTATATGAACTATAGGACTTTATTTGACATGCTTCGCAATGTCCGATTTGGGCCAAATATATACCGTTTTGTTGTATGATTTGTTGTCATTTTAAAGGTTACGTCATAATGCCTCTCTCATAGAAGTCCAGCTCTCTATTTGCAAAAACTTTATTATTGAAGAAATTTTGCAATGCAAGATAAAGATGATAATCGCTTGGTGCCAAGTCCGGACTGCGTTAAAACTTCCCAACCAAAGTCCCGAAGTTTCTGGCAAGTCACACGTTCTGTCATATGGAAGCAACCCATAATAAATAATTCTAGTCCCACCAAACCTTCCGTTTGAGGTGCTTCACCGCTTTTTAACCACGATCGTTTTCGCAAAGTGTTATCGTATGTGACCCATTTCTCATCTCCAGTCACCGTTTGGCCACGGCTTCGCAGGTGGAAATTCGATCCATCCTATTTATACCCTTCACCACACTGTGGTACAGGGTATTATGTCTTTGTGCATATGTTTGTAAAAGGCAAAAATAATCGAGACAGACCCATGGTTCCTTTTTAGAATATGTATAGAATCACTTTCTGAGTCGATTTATGCATGTCCGTCCGTCTGTCCATGTTAAATTGTAAACAAAGTACTGGTCGCAGTTTTGATTCGAATTGGATGAAATTTGGCGCAGCTCATTTATTTGGCCCAAGGACGAACCCTATTGAAATTGGGAAAAATCGGTTCAGATTTAGATATAGCTCCCATATATATTTTCGTCCGATTTAAGGTAAATGGTGCACAAAAGTGGCTATATATCTTTCGATTTGGACGAAATTTGACTCAGCGTACTGAATTGAGTCTAGAATGATGTGTGGTGAGTTTTGGGAAAATCGGTTCAGATTTCGATATAGCTCCCATATATAGTTTCGGCCGATTTTATGCAAATGGTGCACCAAAGTCCCTATATATCTTTCGATTTGCACGAAATTTGGTATAGCCTACTGAATTAGGTCCAGAATGATAAGTGCTAAGTTTCGTGAAAATCGGTCCAGATTTAGATATAGCTCCCATATATAGTTTTGTCCGATTTTATGTAAATGGTGTACGAAAGGCCCTATATATCTTTCGATTTGCACTAAATTTGGTGTATCGTACTGAATTGAGCCTAGAGTGACGTCTGCCAAGTTTCATGAAAATCGGTCCATATTTATATACTGCTCCCATATATAGTTTTGTCCGATTTTATGTAAATGGTGCACCAAAGTCCCTATATATCTTTAGATTTGGACGAAATTTAGCACGATGTACTGAATTGAGCCTAGAGTGACGTCTGCCAAGTTTCGTGAAAATCAGTCCAGATTTAGATATAACTCCCATATATGGTTTCATCAGATTTTATGTAATTGGTACACCAAAGTCCCTATATATATTTCGATTTGCACGAAATTTGGTATGACGTTTATCAAGTTTCGTGAAAATAGATCCAGATTTAGATATAGCTACTTTATATATTATCGATTGATTTTAAGTAATTGACGCACCAAGGAACCAATATATGGCTGATAGGAACAAAACGTACAGAAATTAGTATAACCTAACCTGTGACAAGTGGCAAGAAATCGGTTGATATTTGGATATAGCTACCATATATATTTTCCACTGATTTTAAGTAAATGGTGCATTAAACTCCTTATGTTTTTCAGATTGACATGAAATTTTGCACATCGTACAAAACTTAGCATAGAATAGCGTAACAAACGAATGACATGTTTATGGATTGATCTTAGTCGATTCATATTTAGATAAGTATTACATATTTTAGTTCATCCAATTTCAGGTTAATGGTACTGTTTAATATACCCATAGTGGTGAAAGGTATCATATAGTCGGCCCCGTCCGACTTTACTACTTTCCTTACTGGTTTTTTTCTGTTAATTGGTGTGGCACCCAAACATCGAACTTCTTTTTCAATCCAACTTCGTTTAAATGGTTTAAATCAGTTTTATGGTCGATTTTTAGCTCCTGTGCGATGTTGCGACTGTTAACAGGCCGATCAACTTCGATGATTTCTCCGATTTTATCGAAATTTTCGACGACCGGCCTAATGGATTTCTTCTTCCCCAACCTAATATAAAGGTCCCATTCTATCTAGGTATTGCACATACATTGCTATTACTTCTTGTATGTTTGGTATTGAAAAAGAGGTATTTCAGTCCACGTTTTGGTATAACCCCATATTACGGATTCTGACCATTTTGTATGGGAGGTACCAGTAGTAGTATACCGATGGGTCCCATATTCCAAATTCAATTAAGTTTGAAAAAATATTACGATGTACATATTTCGCATTAAATTTCGAATTGGATTAACAAATTTTCAAAATTTCGACCAATTGTGAAGGAGGAAGCAAAATTAGTGGACCGAATTTCCCCATATTCGAACTTAATTCGAGAAATGTTACGATGTGCACAGTTTGGATCTAATCGAACATTCCATTGGATTTATAAATTGGATTTGTAAATATTGAAAAATCTGAACCAGATGTAGTGAGCCAATGAATCCCATCTTCGGATTTGATCTAGTCTTGGTAAAGATAAGAGGTTTTGCAAAGTTTGGTTGAAATCGGATGATCCGTTTGCATGATATTATAAAATGTATTTTCTGCACAACACTGACCATTTTTAGGAAGGGTGCCAGAAAGAGTGAACCAATATTCCTCCTTTTCGAATTTGAACTTAATTTGGAAGAAATTATTACGATGTTCAAAGTTTGGGTGGAATCGGTTGTCCCCCCCAGCCGGCCAGACAGACGAACATTTGTAAATTAACTCCAAATTGTCGGAAACGGTTTTGAACCAATGAAACATGTGGCCTAAAATCAATATTTCGATGAGGCAAATTTATGCCGTATCATTAGCCATAAGTCAGAGGGTACAAAAATTGTTCAATATTGGTCCACATTTTGGTTTTTAGGAATCAAATGGGGTGTAATTATACCCTTCACCACACTGTGGTACAGTCTTTGTGCATATGTTTGTAACAGGCAAAAGGAAACGAGATAGACATGGTTCCTTTTGATAATATGCATAGAATCAGTTTCTGAGTCGGTTTACGCTGAGTTTCATTAAAATCGGTTCGTCCGATTTTATGTAAATGGTCCAACAAAGTCCCTATATATCTTTCGATTTACACGAAATTTAGCATACCGTATTCAATTAAGTCTAGAATGATGTGTGCTAAGTTTCGTGAAAATCGGTTAAGATTTAGATATAGCTTCCATATATAGTTTCGCCCGATTTTACGTAAATGGTGCACCAAAGTCCCTATATATCATTCAATTTGCCCGAAATTTGGCAGAGCGTTCTGTATTAAGTGCAGAATGATGTGTGCTGAGTTTGGTGAAAATCGGTTCCTATATATATTTTCGTCCGATTTAATGTAAAAGCTCCACCAAAGTCCCTATATATCTTTCGATTTGCCCGAAATTTGGCACAGCGTAATGAATGAAGTATAGAATGATGTGTGTTAAGTTTCCTGAAAATCTGTTCAGATTTAGATATAGCTCCCATATATATTTTCGTCCGATTTAATGTAAATGGTCCACCGAAGTCCCTATATATGTTTTGATTTGCACAAAATTTAGCATAGAGTTCTGAATTAAGCCTAGAATGGTGTGTGCTAAGTTTCATGAAAATGGTTCAGATTTAGATATAGCTCCCATATATATTTTCGTCCTATTAAAGGTAATTGGTGCATCAAAGTCCATATATCATTCGATTAGCTCAACATTTGGCACAGTGTAATGAATTAGGTCTAGAATGATGTGTGCTGAGTTTCCTGAAAATCGGTTCAGATTTAGATATAGCTCCCATATATAGTTTCGTCCGATTTTATGTAAATGGTGCACCAAAGTTCCACGTCGAAATCGGTTCAGATTTAGACATAGCTTCTATATCTGACCAAATGAAAAAATTAGTATAGGTTGCAGAATGACATGTTTATGGAACCAATTTCATTTTGAACATGCGACGTCTGTTAGGATTCATCTGTTGAATATACCCAAAGTGGCGAAGGGTATCATATAGCCGGCCCCGTCCTTACTGGTTTTATATATGGGATTTTCATTGGGTAGAAAATATCGAAATAAAAAATTTTTCAATATTGGTCCACATTTTGGTATTTTAGGAATGTTTTTCAGTCAAATGTGCTGTAATTTTATATATGGAATTTTTATTGGGTAGA